TGCGTGATGTAGTGCTTGCTTTAGTTCATTTTGTTAATGGTTAACTGTGTTAACAATTACTTATTGAAGTTTTTGAATAGCTACTTGTATGGTATCAGTTTCTTTCAGTTGCATGGTAGCTAAAATTAAGAGCTGTATTATGCAATTAATTTATATTTCAGACTCTAGGCATATCTTGTATGATTGACAGCAGAGAAAGTTTGTGGAATTTCTTGGAGTCAACTGCTAAGGTTTTATGTGCATGTCTTTTAAAGAATGAAGTCTTCAGCAGCTTTCATGAAAGTTCTGAATATCATTTTTTAGATGCCTCTGGCAAAATGTAATGCTCTCTAAGAATGTTGCTTGCAGACAGGTATGTTTTGCATCAGCATCTTCCCCATGTTAAAATCCATAAGTCTTCTCTCCCTCTATCAGTCAGTCGTGCATGTACCTTTCACATAATTTGCTACTGTGAAATTATTAGCGACCATTTTCTTCTGGTTTGCCCAAGGGATGTTTCAGACTAGATACAGAAAACAGGGATGATGTTCTAATCTGATAAAAATTACCTGGGCATCCTTTTTTTTATCCTTTAATGAAGTGAGACATAGCTCATGTAATTCATTCAAAGTGAAAAAGTGCTTTCCTATTGACTGTTAAGTTGATGGAAAAAAAGTTTAGATTGCAGACTCAGAAACGTGACTTGGTATTGCAGGGAGAGATTTAAATATCTTCTCATTGCCAGAGTCTGGTAGAAAGTATAGCAGAGTTCAAGCCCAGTAGCTCTTACTTCATAGCTGTTATGAAGAAACTTTGCCTCTAGAGCTCACATACTGAAAAGAAATACATTTTATGAGATGGAGGTGTCATCCATTTTCATTTCGTAGACTAATTTACCATTCTTTTTTGGTTTTGTTACACTGTGAGAGGAATGTGTGAGCATTTTGGTGTATCATTTCAGAGAGAAAGGTCAAGTAATTTTGCATTCAGATAAAGATGCTGTGCTCCTTCTGCAAGTTTTAGGGCTACTAATGAGAAAAAGAGGAGATGAAAACTTTGTTGATGACAAGTAGTTCATTCGATTATTATATTTCTTGTTAAGGTATGTTTTTAAAAGCGATTATTTAAAAAGGTTCATATTTAATTGAACAAGGCTCTTTGCGGGGGAGATTGAACTAGATGATCTTTAAAAGTCCCTTCCAGCACAAACTATTTTGTGATTCTGTAAATCTGTGTAAAGGCTTTTATGTTAGGCAACTTCTATTAATTAAATAATGAAAAAATTAATTAATGAAAAAATGCCTTTAGATGTGGTATAGCATAAATACATGAAAACATTTTGTTTTGATGAAAACAAAAGAGGTGATTAATTATTTGCGTCACATTTTGTTAAAACACATTTGGTTCAACTGAAAGATTAAAATATGATTAATAAATGGCATGCTTGTTCTGAGTAACTGTGAGCTGAATGTGTGTTCTGAAAGTCAGAAGCAGTATTCTTTTGCATTGCTGTTATTCTAGATATTGTAAGGTGACTAGGGTTTGATTTGGTCTGTTATTTTTGAACAATGTGCTTTCCCTGAGTCTTGGGACACAAGCTGTACTTGGACTGTTTTTAATTTGTTCTGGTTTTTGTTGAGGTAAAGGCGAGTGTGTGTGTCACCTGGCCACCCTCCTTCTCTCTTCCTACATATATTATTTTACAGTTTGAGTCTACATTGTTATTTTTGTTAAGTATCTGAAAGAGTTTTATGGAGATTGGAGTGTGGTGAGAGACAAGAGAGATAATAGAAGGGATTTGGGGAACCAACAAATAGAGATTAAACTGTATTAAGGGCAAGTTTAGGGATCTTGGATGTGAATTGGAGACTAGGTCAGTGCATGTTATCTTCTTGAATAGAATTTTGTGCCAAGTCCAGACTAAAAGTTATGTATTGTGATCAGTCAGGTAGGAAGAAAAGAGACTGAGAAAATAGAGGGAACTAAAATGCCAACAGGAGAAAAAATCAAGTTTCCTGAAATACAGGAATAGTTATGAATACTTTATGTCATCAGTTTGTTTCCATAACCTATCCCTCTACTCTGTGAGATGAGTTTAGACAACAAACAAAGAAGCCACTGTAACAACGAAACTCCATACAACCAAAGCACAAAAAATACCAACTAACCAACAACAAAACAAAACAACAAAAAACCCCCAAACAAACAACAAAACCACCGTAAAAACCAACCAAAAAAAAAAACCAAACAAACCACACATAAAAACCCTAAAAACAAACAAAAAAAACCCCCCAAACCACCAATAACAACAACAAAAAAACAAAAAAAATCAAGCAAAAAAACAACCAAAAAATACCCCCAACCCCCTGGACTATTCCAAAAGTATCCAGGACAGTATTGCAGTTTGACTTCCTAGTGATTTGTGAAGTATATGTGAACACACATGCTCCATGGAAGTGAGGTTCACATGGCTAAGACTAAAGAATAATGCCTGTCATTCCAGGTTTAAAAAAAAACCCACGAGAAAATGAAACTGTAATTTTCAGAGTCCAAATATAATTGACTTTGTCCTGGGAGCGTGGGGCTTAAGTTCTCTCTGATAGAAGATATGTAACCCCATCTGATTCTTAAAATGACTCCTGCATGCTTTCTAACTAAATGAGTATAGAGAAGTTTCTTCTTCTTTCCTAACTACCACAGAGTTTTTTCGAAACAAAACCGAGCAAAGTGAGAAAATTCGGCATTTTTGGTTTGTTCCAGTTATTAAACATCTAAACATAGTTTGCTGGCCAAGAAGCCATTGTATTCTTTTATGCTGGCTGCCAAGAGGCCTGTTCTTACTCTTTCAGGTCAAGTGAGCCACACATTTTAAGTATTTAATGGCAGCCAGGGGAGGTTGCTCCCAGCCTTTTAGTTATTATTTTTGTTAGTTTTTTTCCCCATGTAAAGTTGGAAGCAATGTATGTTAGGTAGGCATCACTTACATATTGCTAAATACTTAGAAGATAGCTATTAGCAGGTTTACAGCAATCATGTATGCTATATCCCTCCTAGAAGATACCATGAAAATGCTGTATCTGGTTAGCTTTTAGGGTTTGTCTTAAAAATGTTTCTGCATATGAACTCCTGATTTTAATAAACCTGGTTCTCGGTGTCTTTGTCTTCATAACACTGTGGGCACTTGCAGAGGTGCTCCTGCCCTTCCGTGGTAGCTGTGCACCTTCTCAGCAGGTGCAGTCTCCAGCTGTCCTTGGCTGCTTCCCCTGCCGTGGTCTCAGGCAGTTGCTCCAGAGGTGCTATCACTGTGGCCTTGCACCTGCACAGAGTCATTTCAGCAGAATTTCTCAGGAGTAATGGACAGCAGTGTGGGAATTGCCTCTTTTTTTTTTTTCCCGTTTGGGTGTAGCTTGTGGTTTATGGCAGGGGATGCAATAATGTGTGAGCACAGAGGTTAATGACCAAGCAGGCACTGACTCAGCAGTTCCCTGGTCAGCATGTGCTCTGCTGAATGCCAGCGACACTGTAAGAAGGAATGACTGAAGGGGCTTGAGCAGTTCCTGGTGAAATGTATATTGTTAGTAGAGAACTACAGAATGGTTGGCTTAGGAAGGGACTTTTGGAGATCACCTAGTCCAGCTGTCCCTACTAGAGCAGGTTCACCTGCAGGAGGTTGCACAGGATCATGTCTAGATGGGTTTTGAATATGTCCAGGAAAGAGGACTGCAACCTCTCTGGGCAGCCTGTTTCAGTCTTGTGTTACCCTCAAAAAAGTTTTTCCTTATATTCAGATGCAGTTTCCTGTTTCAGTTTGTGCCTGTTGCCCCTTGTCATGTTGCTAAACTTCGCTGAAAAGAGTCTGGCCCCATCCTCTTGACACTGTATTAAAGACACCTGTATGAATTGATAAGATCCCTCCTCAGTCATCTCTTCTCCAGACTACACAGGCCCAACTCTCTTAGCCCTTGCTTGTAAGACGAATGCTCCAGTCCCCTCATCATATTAGTCGCCCTTCACCCGACCCTCCCCAGTAGTTTCTGGTCTTCCTTGGGCTAGGGAGCCCAGAACTGGACTCAAAACTCCAGATGTGGCCTCACCAGGGCAGACTAAAGGGAGAGGATCACCTCCCTCAACCTGCTGACCATGAGAAAAATATTATGGAGGAGCCACTTCTTAGAATGGAGAGAGTCCAAGGGAAGGGTACTCATCTGGGGACCCCCAGCACTTCTCTTTCCAGCTGGCTGCAAAGTAGAGTTCTTTTTTTCCCTCCTTCCTTTTGTTTTTATTTCTTACCCAAACCACCTTCACCATTGGAGTTATTTTAGTTATTGTATCTACTAATAAATCTTTGCACATGTGAACCTGTTTCTACATTCTTGGTGCAACTACCTGTTTCCCTTGAACACTTGCAGATTTGCACCACCCCATTTCCCCCCCCCTTTTTTTTTTAATTATGTGCTAATTTGCTCATTAAATAATTAATGTGAGGTTACAGCCAAGATGCATATGTTATACAGAGGGCTGTTTGTATAAATGAAGGCCAAAGGGTTAGTCATGACTGTGTACTCCTCTGGTATGCTGTTTTTAGTAACAGTTCAGTGTTGTAAGAAGGGCTTGGATTAAGTTTAGTAGCAGTGTGCCAACAGCTGATTATCTCTTTGTTCATTGGAGTTTTTTTTTGTAGCATAGGGGTTTTTCTGTCTTTAGAATAGCAAGAGATTTGTAGTTTTAGTTAAGACCTAGAGTATGTTTTAGTCCATTCCAGAGCTGAATAACATTGAGGGGAAAACTGAAATGACAAGGTGGTTTGGTTTTATGAATTATGTATTGTGGAAGATATTACATGATGTCATACCACTGTAAGCCAAGTATAATTAGGATGTGAACATGCATGCATCACTAAAATATGCAATAAGTGCTCAAGGTCTGATAATTGTTATTGATTATTCTTCTTAGTTACCTTTTTCTATTGTAAAACTGTCTGGTTTGCCTCAGAAAATAAATGTTCTTTTAAATTCTCGCAGATTCCTGCTTCAATGTCTTGAGGATCTTGACGCCAATCTACGGAAACTGAATTCACGCTTGTTTGTTATCCGTGGACAGCCAGCAGATGTTTTCCCCAGGCTTTTTAAGGTAAATGCTACCTTGCAGTTGTTGCTATCCACAAATATGACCAACAAACTAATTACAGCTAGGAATATTTATTGTACTGTTTCATTCAGTGAAAGTTATTCATGCAAATACTAATCTATCCTTGCAGTTTCTCATTAAGTTTGTGTTAGTTTTGAATTTTTCCTCTCTAATGTACATATCACCAGCTGAGTTGAGTTGCTTTTAGACTTTACTGGTTTTTGTTTCTTTCTTTCCAGAAACAGAATTGATTTCAAATGGTTTGCTAAGTGTGGGTACTATATATTACTACATTTTCCTTTTATAGTTCTGAAATTTTCCTTTTATAGTACTGAAATAAAATTTTGTGCTCATGAATCTATGTTCAAAGCCTAATCTGTAAAAGAAATCTTTTATTTAGGCCAAACATCTGCTGTGATTGCTTTTTGGTCTTTAAAGGTGATTTAATCTAGTAGTAAGATTGTTAAAAGCACAATGTAACAAAAGCAATTTCTAGTCGAAGATATTTAAGACTTTTTTGGGAAAGGGTCTTACTGAAAAAATTAAAACTGAGTGATTGTTACTGATAGTAATATGTTGTCTATGGATAATAGAGTATCTAAGGTAGTAATATAATAGTATAGTAAAAATGAACACTTGACAAATTGATTTGAAGAGTTTTTCCAGAATGATTGAATTGAGGTGACTGAAACGAGCAAGACTGGGGGTACAAAAAGAGAGACCCATTTTTCCAGAGCGGTTGTATGTTCATTATTTTTGTTACCAGGTCTTCAACACCAACCTGAAAACTCAACCCAAACTCACATTTCCATCTTCATTATTGTGCTTTTGTGAAATGCTAACTGGATAGTGCTTCTACTGGTCTTTCCTTGATTTCCTCTCAGTGAAGAATTTCCTGGAAGAGTACTCTGGCATTAGCTGCTGCTAATGACAATGCTTGTTGCATTTGTCTGCCAAACTTAGTTTGATTGCATTTAAATAGGAGCAAAGGTCTTCCGTTGTGTGTTGCCTTCTGGATTTGAGCAACCTGTAACAAGTTGTCTTAAATACTTTAATGGCTACTTTGACAGCTCCTGCTTCAGATTTTGCTGCTAGGCTGATCTTTTCTATGCCTGGCAGCATTGGATTGCCACGTTTTTAGAATATTAATTTTAGTGCTGAGAAGAAAATGAAAATAACTTGTAATAAAGATAGCATACAACAATCAAAAAAGAGCATTCACATCTATCTGTGTCTTCTGGTTCCTCAGGTTAGTGTCTTTATCATATATTGATTCACTGAGGGGCTTTTCAGGACATCTTCTATGCTCAAACAAGTTACTGAAGCTCTTGAGGATTTCTTCATTTTCTGGCTGAAGTCGACCTGGAACATGCATCTATGTTGTGTAATTATATCTCACAACTTCTTTTGTCAGACCAGTAGCTGTACATCAGACACTAGCAGTGCAGTGAAGGGCTTATAACACTGAACAAAGCTTTTCAGATCATCCCTATTGTGTCTTAAAGGTGAACAATGATCCTGACCCTGAAGAACGAAGGCATGTGGAAAAGATAAGTTCAGTTAAGCTTGGAAAAATAACTTCAGTTGAGTTATTAACTTAAAGTAGGAGATAGTGGAATTTCTGTAGAGCCCTTTCAGGTGTCAGGAGCCCTATCATAGATGCTAGCATCTGTGGATTTCCTAGGAATGTATCACAGCTGTTTCTTGGTAAGGCTTTCCTTTTCACAGACTGAACAATTCCTTCAAAAGGCAGAACACTGATCTATCTTTATCCTTGTAAAAGACCTCAAACACCTTTAGGCTCTTTGATTTCTGTTAAGTTTTGGCTTGTTCTTGCCTCATCCTCTTCAATTTGTCCTGGTCTGCTTTCTATCTTTAGTTCTTTGGGATTGGCTCAATAAAGAAAATAGAATTGAAACAATCACTAGTTTTTTTAATGCATCAGTGTTGCTAAAACCGTTCAGCAGTATGAGTATGTGCAAACCGATCTGTGTCCATAATTCTTCTAATTGCCTGGCTCATGCTGATGTGATCTGGATATATTCACATTACATAGCAATTTTCTCAGAGTTTCTTGACTCCCTCAGGGATGTGACTCTGTGTCTTGGACATGTTTTTTATGATCTTCTTTGCAAAAAGCCAGAGGAAAAAAAGGGTTTAGAAAGGTATCTGCTGCAACTTGTCAGACAGTGGTTTTGTGTTATGAAGCATTATGAAATGGGAAGTAAACGTTATGTTCTGGTGTAGGAAGTTGTTTGAGGATTCAAGGCCTGCTGGGTTACTCTTGGCAGACTTAAGGATGGTGAGATCCCATCCATGTTTCAAAGAGCAAGCACTCCTTGGAATCATCTGTCCTCAGGGCTGGGCTTCATCTAGGAGAGAGCTGGAGTTTGGAAGTGAAATAGCACCTCAGATGATCAGCACCGAGTGCCCTTGTCTCTGGTATAAATCCAGTTCTCTGAAATACTATGGTGTATTAAACCAAGTCATTAAGATTCTGAGGGGTTAGAAAGGTATTTGAGTTTGATTGGCATGATAGCTTTCTGGGATCGTCTTGTGTGTACTTCACCTTTTCAATTTCCTACTGTTGCAGAAACCTTAGCCATCATTGATTCCTTTGTTCCCTTCTTTTTACTCACCTGTGACTGTTGGCCTTGGTAACAGCATCTGTGCCAAAGAATATTAGACTTAAAGGCATAAGGTGTTCTCTTTGTAGAAAACAGCCTTTTTTCTTTTTTCTTTTTTTTTAATTAAGTATTTGAAGATTGTCAGAGTGAGGAGAAGGGATTTGGAAAAGGCAAAGAAAGTATTTGGTGATAGGGTGGGGCAGTATTTCCACTCCCTTCACTTGGAACTTCAGTTCTGTTGCTGAAGTGGACAGGCACATGTAGAAAGCTTTTCTGCAGAGCAAGGTACTGCTGCTCATCCATGTTCAGCAGACAGCCTTTGTCATCTTCCCCTTTTGTTGAGTCTCTTAAGGTATGTGGATCCTCAAGTTAGAGTTGTGTTTTCAAAATTTGCATGGAAATTGTTCCATTACAGTGAGCACCCACAGTAATAGGACAGATGGAGACTTTTTTTATGCTTGATAGGTACTTAGATGCCAAAAAGTTTGAGTTCATTTTTGTTATTCTGGGTGCCTAATGTATTTTGCATCTTTCTATTTCTCTGAATAACTATCCACAGGTAATAGTTGGTGTTCCGTTCTGCCCCTGTCCTTCCAGTTCTCCTTTCCCTGACCCTCCATCATGCAGCTGAGTTGCTAAAGGACCACACTTTTGGTTTGTGTTGTAGGAATGGAACATTGCAAAGCTTTCTATTGAATATGATTCTGAACCATTTGGGAAGGAAAGAGATGCAGCTATCAAGAAGCTGGCCAGTGAAGCTGGAGTGGAGGTCATTGTTCGGATTTCACATACATTGTATGACCTAGACAAGTAAGTTTTCATTTAGTTGGATTTAAAAAAAAAGAGGAAAAAACCCCTTGGAATTTTATATAGTATTTATTTATATATTGTGGGCTACTTTCTACACTGAACAGTTCATAGTTAGGAAAACTACAAATTTGTTTTATGTTTTGCTTTTATCCAACCATCCAAATTTTATTACATACAGAGTAGAACTTCCAAACTCCAAAAAATGATATGTAACTGTATCTGAAATGCAGTTTTAATTTGGAGTTCTTTTGAAAATAATGTTTGTGTTAATTAGCTAGCGTTTATAATTAAGTTACTCAAACATACCTGTAATTTCTGCCAAATAACATCTGGTTTTGTTTAGTTGTTTTGTTTGTCTTGTCTTTATTTCACTTTTTGTGAAGTTATGAGAACTCAAAAGTTATGAGAAAGTCCTTTAAGTTTAAGAACTGTTTCCTACCAATTATCTATTCAATAAGTAATTTGTGATTGTTTGCTATCCCTGTATTGCCTTATTTAATGTCTTGTTTATATTTTTCTGCAGATCTATTTAATGGATTAGTGTTAATTCCCTATTATAGAAACATAATCCACAAGCTAGTTACAAGTGTTACTTGTCTTCTCTTAGCATTAAGTGATTTATTGTGGTAGCTGCCCATTTTATTCTTTTACGAGCCAATGTAGAAGAGACTGTTAGACACATGGGAGGGCAGTGAAATTGGAAGTATTTACTTTTTTTAATCAACAGCTGACGTTTTTTTAAATCTCAAATTGAAAATTCTCTTTTTCCCCTCCTACCCAAATGTTAAATAAGCATTTGGTTCCATCTACCGCTTTGTAAGTTTTTCTGTGAAGTTTTCCTTTTTTCCAAGATTCAGATACATTAGAAATGGCAATGTAAAACATGAAATTGTGTTTTTACAGCAGTGTATATAAGCTATATGTTAATTTCCCCCCATATTAAGGCATTTTTAATATCAACTACTGTTCTTAATGCCAGAAAGGGAATTTCTTTGGATGTAAATACCATGGCCTTGTGCATGACTTGGATACTTCTGTATGTAGCTAGGATCTCTATCTGCTTTACTGATCTGTTCTTTTCTTTGCCTTGAACTGTCAGTGTTCATTATATCCTTGTTCATGAGGGAATTTCTGTAAGCCAGGAATGAAGAAAATTGACTTGGTTATAAAGAGTTAATTTGTATGTCTCCCTAGTGGGGAAAGAAGGATGGTGTATTTAAAGTTCTAACTGTCTGGATTACCATGTGTATTTGGGATTCTATGTAAGCTGGAGGGAGGTAAGAAGATATTTCTTTGTATGGGTAGGTGTGTATATTTTGAAAGAAAAACAGTTAAATACTATTGTCTGGCATTCTTTTCTTTTTTCTTTTATATAGAATAATAGAATTAAATGGAGGACAGCCTCCTCTTACTTACAAGCGATTTCAGACCCTAATTAGTAGAATGGAACCCCTGGAGATGCCTGTGGAGACTATAACCCCAGAAGTAATGAAAAAATGTACTACTCCAGTTTCTGATGACCATGATGAGAAATACGGTGTGCCATCACTTGAAGAGCTGGGTATGTTCTCAGATTGCTTTGACATTTTGAAACAATTAAGATGTAATCTACCACTAAAAGCACAATACTTAAAACAGCAAGTGAGGTCCTGCTAGTGCTTCATTGTTAACATGATGCAATTATAGCATACAAAAGGAACAAAAAAAGATAATCAACTCTGTAAATTTTGGTTGTTTTCTGGTAAATGAGGGGTCAGGTTCAACTGTACTAAGTACTGTTTGCCTTCTTGTAATACAGCGTAGCCATTTTCCCAGGGTACCAAATAATCATCAAGCTACTAATTAATAGTCTTTGATGCTTCATTTCATATTAAATACACTTAGTATCTTTGTTCTTCAGGTCATTAATCTGTCATTTAACAAACTAGTTTAGAAAAACCACCCTCTTTTCTTGATATACTTGAAAAAAGATAGTAATAAGACAATTAATTACTTTAGAAGGCTCTGAGGGGGGAAAAAATGTCTTACAATTCCTTTAAATTACATTTATAGAAATGTATCAGCTATTGTCCTGTGAAGCTCCTCATCTCTTTCCTGTTTCCCCACACATCTCAAAATACAAGCAAATGTGCTGTGACCTTCAGATTGCTAACAAAAGGGTCTGGACAAATTTTGGTTATTCTGTGACTGCCCTGTTTAGTCCATTTCAACTCTCACGAAATAGACCTTGGTTTTTAAAGCCTTTATAAGAAGATATAATCTCACTATGCAGTGGTTAAACTATAGGCAGACATGTTCTCCCATGCATCTAGTAAGCAATCTTGGGGCAGGTGGGGGTGTGTGGAAAAAAAATTCTTTTTATCTTTTTTTTTTGAGGCTCAAGTATGTGTTTATCATCAAATTAACAATCTCTGTTATTTAAGTTGAGGACAGTGATATCTGGGAATGTTCTGAAGATGACACTCATGCTTTTACCTTGGTGGAAAAGTTTTAAGACATTTGGTAAATTACAAAAGCAATTGTTGCTTCCTAGTAGTAATTTTTAAAAAGTTGTGGTTTTAGGATAGCTTGCATAATGCAGATTTGAAAAATGGTAGAGGGATCACTTCATTAAAATAAAAAGACTAAAAACCAAAAGAAACCAAAATCAGGAGAATTGGGACTGAAGTAAGACCATTCAGCATCTAAAATTTGTAATGTAGGTTAATGTAAATGTAAGAAGAAAAACTTGAGTTTTGCTGCAAGTTAGAGGTATTTGGATGTGCTTTGAGAAGACTTGGCTGCATACTGATGTAAAACACACTTTTTCATGTGTCCAAATTAGGGTTTTTCTCAGGATGCAGTAGTCAAGTATCAATATGCTATAATTTTGTTGCCTTACAGTGTAAGCAAACAACCAATTTCCTTGTTCCAATTTGTCTTTCAGGTTTTGACACAGATGGTCTGCCTTCTGCAGTATGGCCAGGGGGAGAAACAGAAGCTCTCACACGCTTAGAAAGACATTTAGAACGAAAGGTGTGTTTCAGATCCCTGCAAGTCTCTCATATCTGGGAAACTTAGTTACTCTTTGCTGTGAAACCTAAGGGGATTTGGGCAAATTGTGTTTAAAAAAAAAAATCAAACCCATGAACTTGAACTCAAGGCCTCAATGATATAAATCAATAGGCTTTTTTTAAAAGATGATAGTAGATTATCTTTGATATGAATTTTAGAGACAGTCTGTTTTACTCTTCTCTACTAAAAAAAAAATTACTTATTTTTGAAGTAATTTTATTTGAAACATACATTTTATAACTTTGAAGGGGAATTTCTCTGATAACTCATGTATTGCTAGCTGTCTAGTTTTCCAGTGTATTTAAAAGAAAGGGCACAGATAGTTCTGGAAGACAGTCCATGCCTTCTGTATTGAGTTGATTTACCTTCTAGAGGCTCTGCTGATGTAAAAGGAACGCCTGTGTATCGTAGGTGATCTGACCATCTGTCCACTGTTTGGATTCAGTTACACACAGTGTGTGATTTCTCCCTTTCTGAGTTGCTGTGTAGCCTCTAGTCTGATTTTGCTGTGTGGGTTTTGTTTTGTTTTGTTCTTTTAAGGCTTGGGTAGCAAACTTTGAAAGACCACGGATGAATGCAAATTCCCTTTTGGCAAGCCCTACGGGACTTAGTCCTTACCTCCGCTTTGGCTGTTTGTCCTGTCGGCTCTTTTATTTCAAGTTAACGGATCTGTACAAAAAGGTAGGACTTCTGTGTGGTCAGATACATATTCTTAGATGCCATGGTTTTCCTCTACTTCTCCTAATAAAATGTTTTTCTTTAATGATGATCTTCAGGTAAAAAAGAACAGCTCCCCTCCCCTCTCCCTCTATGGCCAGCTGTTATGGCGTGAATTTTTCTACACAGCGGCGACTAACAATCCACGGTTTGATAAAATGGAGGGGAATCCTATCTGTGTTCAAATTCCATGGGATAAGAATCCTGAGGCTTTGGCCAAATGGGCAGAAGGCAGGACAGGTTTTCCTTGGATTGATGCAATTATGACACAACTTCGTCAGGAAGGTTGGATTCACCATTTAGCCCGGCATGCTGTAGCATGCTTTTTGACTCGAGGTGACCTCTGGATTAGCTGGGAAGAAGGAATGAAGGTAATGTTTCTTATTCTTGAATTTCTTAAAGTGCCTGTTAAAGTTTCAGATAGTCATTCTAGAACTGTTTCTGTGTGGTCTAAGTTGAATTTTAAAGCTTAAATTGTGGGTAAATCTAAATTGGTTCTGGTAAACCAGGTGTGTTGAAATTTTGCCTCTTGAATATCCCCTTTTATTGGAATGTTGAGTGTTTGTTGCAGTCAGAATAGGTCTGAAATTCTTTTAAATTTGAGATTTCTTCTTAAATCTTGACAAATTAAACATGGATAACTATTGTAATTTAGATTTTTTTTCCCAATCATTCTGTGTATGAACAGTTTCTGTTCATATCTTGCAACTGCTTCCCTGCAAAGAGGAAGTACTATGGGAATTAAAGAGAGAAAACTAGAAACTGTGAATGTGCTTTGTGCCATTTTTCTGTTTGGCCAGTGTTATAACTGTGGGTAAAGACAACATGATTTGGCTGAAGGCTCAATGCAGTTAATTTTATGCAGGTATAAGATGCTGAAGTTCAAATTTAAAATGTCAGATTTTTGAAGAAAACAGTGGAATAATTTATTCTCACTAATTAAGCCTTTGAATCGATTTTACATTTTTAGAAGCATAGCATAACTTTTACTGAGGAATAACTTATGAAAAACTAAGAATCAGACTATTTTATTTTTGAAATTTAAAAGAATTGAATTGCCATCAGGATTTTGACCTCATATTTCTATATGTATATAATCATAGGAAATTTCTTTTCTTAAAAAATCAGTTGTAAGCAAACACCTTTCAGTTTAAAAAAATGGGTTACTTCTGCAGTTCACAAATACAGACATTGAAGATGCACATACATAGGTAACTCAGTACATTACAGATAAATTACTCTGTAAATTACAGATACATGGCAGCTTGTCCTTACTTTTGCACTAATGCAGATATATGAAGGCCGCAGACTTGTACAGTGGAAAAATGCTCAATTCAAGTTTCCATAGCTAGCAGACGTTAATCTGGCTTCCATGTGGTGTTATTTTCAAAGTCTTACTACATGGCAGCATCTAGTGGAACAATTGTGTGCTAACACACTTCATGTTTGAAGATCTTGTTGCATTATGATTTTAAACATTTTTTGAAAGTGCTATAAGATAAATCCTATTTTTTCAAAGTAAACTTTTTTCCTAAGTAGTTGCAGATATTTAGTAGAAGATACTTCTGTAATACTTACTCAGTGTATACTGTGGAATCAGTGCATTGTTGAGTATATGGAGAGAGAGATCAAGAGATCATTGTTTGATGGTATAACCTTATTTAGACCTTGTATAGGAATAATATTAGCAGAATTCGAGTGGCAGTACTAAGATGTTGAGTTTTTAGTGCCTTAGCATGAAGAAAGATGGTTGCTTTGGAACATTTGGAAATTGTCTAAGTTTGAAAGGAAAATCAGAACTTGAAAAAATATATATTAAATAAGTATCTGTTCTTAAAATTACTTCTAGGCTCACTGCTTTTATAAAAAAGTCCTTGAGCATTGTCCTTCACAGAATGAGGCTTCGCCTGTTTTTTGTCAGCCAGCATTGCTAGTGCTCTGACTGAGCAGATAAACTTCCTTCATACAAGTTAGTACTGTGTTGAAGATGAAAAATTAAGCACTGCTGGGAGCTTGAATGTTTCACAGCTTCTGAGCTCCAGATTTAAAGTAAAACCCTCATAAATCTTCAACTTTCTCATGGTTTATTTTGTTTTGTTTTTAAAATATAATAGAGGTAGCAAATCACCTGTCACACCATCCTTCAGTCTTCTTGGTGGTTCATAATGTCTCCAGGAATTTGAGTGTGTTCTCAAAACTGTGACTTGCTAGATTAACTGTTAGCCTTCAAGAACACAACTTCTTCATGTTTGTGCTGCCCACAAACTCTTGAATTCTACTTGTTGGATTCCTCACATAGGGAGAAAATCTTGTGCAAGTTGAGGTATTCAGACTAGCAATTTGAGTTAAAAATGTACTTTGTATGTTCCCTGTTTTCTGGAATTTTGCAACACTTACTCAACTGTGATGTGATGAAGCAATTCTTCTGAAATCAGCAAATGCCACTTGGAAGCCATAAGGCTCCAGCCATCCTTTGGGGATTTATTTTTCAAGGATGTGTTTATGTAAGAATGTGTAGCTTCCTGAGATGTTTACAAGTTTGTTTACAGGATAAAAGCCTAGTTTTGAATTTTTTCTTTTGTTATTGAGTTTGGCATTAAGGCATTTGCAATTGCATACTAAGCATTCTGTGAATGCTGCCAGGTAACAAAGTGCTTAAATAAGAAACTCAGGAACTAATCCTGGAAAAGTGTCTTGAAAGTATGCCATGCCCAGACTAACTTGTTGCACTGATTTCTTAAGGTCTTTGAAGAACTGTTACTTGATGCAGATTGGAGTGTGAATGCTGGAAGCTGGATGTGGCTATCCTGTAGTTCCTTCTTTCAACAGTTTTTTCACTGCTACTGCCCGGTGGGTTTTGGCAGAAGAACTGACCCAAATGGGGATTATATCAGGTAACTCAAAATTCAGAAATTGCAGTGATGATTCATGGGTGTTGCTTAAACTATTGAGCAGCCTTATACTTAACATGACCTTTTTACCTTTCTCGTTATTTTTTTAAAGACGTTATTTGCCAGTACTTAGAGGTTTCCCTGCAAAATACATCTATGATCCTTGGAATGCCCCAGAGAGCATCCAGAAGGCTGCAAAATGTATTATAGGAGTTAATTATCCCAAACCAATGGTAAACCATGCAGAGGCAAGCCGTCTGAATATTGAGAGGATGAAACAGATCTACCAGCAGCTTTCACGATACAGAGGACTGGGTATGATTATACATTATTTGCTTTATTTATTTACTTAAAACTTTTCTCACCTTCTAGCAATTCATAATTTAGTCTCATAGCAGTGAGAGTCAGGTCTAAGTTTGAGGGGGCAGGGTCCATATCCAAGTAAATATTATATGTAACTGAGAAAGGAAGGAGTTTGAGGGGAGTGCCTCTCCAAATACTGCCTAGATTTTTTTTCTATGGGACTTTGGAAGTGTTTTTGTTAAGCTGGGCCTTTTGTACATTCTGATAAACTCTCATACAGTTAAGTTTTAGTACTAGTGATTAGAAAATTAATATGGTTCATAACTTCAGTGATACTGTATTTGCATATGCAAATGCTGTTGCAGAAGTAGGCACCAACCCAGGCCCTGGTAGATTCTTCCCCTTTGCCCTGAGTGGTAAACCAGGTGCACTTTACTGCTCAGGGAGATGTGAGCAGTCAGTGTGTTCAGATACTGGGTATTAAATCAGGATATATGTTGCACTAAACCAAATATACTGGATATGTGTAACTAAGGAACATTGGAAAAGTTATGCAGAATATGATGTAGAAAATTTAAGTAAATGTGAATTAAAATTGTTTGGCAAGAAATAGAAGCAGGCAAGACAGGTGTTCTCCTGTCGTAAAAGTAAACCACTCAAGGTGAGGGTGGAGAATTGGCTATCACAAGGAAAACAGAACACTGCACTTGATATTTTTTTTCTTGCTATCTTTCTTTATATATTTTGTTTTGTTTTTTAGGTCTTCTTGCAACTGTGCCTTCTAATCCAAATGGAAATGGAAATGGTGGCCTAATGGGCTATTCACCAGGAGAAAGCATTTCTGGTTGTGGTAGTACAGGAGGTCAGTCAAATTCTTTAAATACATAGTTATTGGGACTGAGCTACATGAACTTCTTTTATAATGCCCTTGCCATTTTGTATAATAAGGAAGAACTGCTTTCATAAGACATTTTTGAGTGCGAGTCAAATACTTTCAAATTTATTCACTGTTTGATAGTATTTATATACACATCTTTAAATTATTTTTTAGTGTCACATATGCAAATATTTTTCAGCTGTTTTTTCCCCTTCCAAAAATTACTTATTAATTAGCATCAAACAATTTGATTTCAAAGGCATTCGAATATTATTTTCTCCTAGAGATGTATAAACATCCTGATATTTATAATAAGGAGTGATTTGTGAACTTTCAAGTGAGAATTATTAACTTTGTAAAGTTTTCTAATGCTGGCATTAGATTGCTTAGTGGAAATTACTTCTACTAAGGAAAAACAAGAATAGTATTAAGATTGTATTAACCCATGGTGTATCCTAAATACTTAAATGCTATATACTCCTTAGACTCTTCAATGTAAAAGGATATAGCACAACTGGAAATCTGCTGGGTTTATATTCTTCATAGGCTTTAGTCAAGGTTAGAAGCAGATTGTGGAGGAAGATGGACCTTATTGTTCTTAGCCAGTACAGTTCTCCTGAAGATTTAAAATACAAACTCCTTAAAGCTGGGTGCTTGAGCTTTTATTTCTTATAAGTTTAGGACATGTATAAGACAAGAAGGGTTTATGTTTAAAAAATTGACATTATGTGCACTCTTTTCTCTTTAAAATGCATTCATGTATACTTGTACTTACACTTTTCTCATTAGAAATGTATTCCTTTCGTATGAGCTTGAGTGAATTTGGAAAGAAAAGTACCATTAGAGCTTTGGACCTGTAATGAGGTGGTTTTAAAAAAAAAAAGTTTAAAAGCCACAATAAAAAGGAGAAGAGAGGGTAAACCCCCCACATTTTAAATCCCAAAACTGGAGTTGTACCTTCTGTTATGTTTAAGTCTTTTCCCTGCCCTCTCCAGGAGCTCAGCTGGGAGCTGGTGATGGTCATTCTGTTGTTCAGCCATGTGCCCTGGGAGACTCTCATACAGGAACAAGTGGAATTCAGCAGCAAGGTATTATGGCAGTGCCTGTCTGTAGAGGATCTCCAAATGCTTGCAACTATGGAAAACCAGACAAAACATCAAAATAGTATGGATAGATTTTGGGTGACAGCTGCTGTCTACAACATGAACTGACCTTGTTTCTGTTCTTGAAACATTGAAATTATTTCTTAGAGTGAACTTGCTTGTTTTGTAATTTTTATCTCTAAAGTGCTCATCTAGAGCAGTATTTGTATGTTTTGAGTGGGAGGGATCACAAGTGTGACTAAACAAAAATTAATAAACATTATCCTAGGCTACTTTTAAAGAAACTGAAAACCAGAAGTTCACCTTGTGTATTGGATAGTAAAATTTGTATGTTATCTTTTCCCTGATTTCACTACCACTCTTTCCATATATAATTAATTTCCACAGTTTGTGTGGATAGTCTCTTATTGTGGAAGCAAATTTTAGTTACTTTAACTATACAGGACCTTAAGCTGTGGTTTGTGCTAGATCCAAGTTGCAATGAAATTTAACCCAACTGTTTGTTTCTTTGCAGTCTTAACAGAGGTGGTGTGTTTACTGATCAGGAAAGGCTGTAATCTGTGTTTTGTTTAAGCACCCAGAACGTAACTGGAACACCGCAACTGTTCAGAACAAGAAACCTTGCAATTGCTTCTGCTGATTGCACTATTCATGCAGAACACTCAGTTTCAAGGTTCCCAGTAGATAGTATACGTGAATCAAAAGAAAATTCTCATCTTTCTTTCTTTAAAGTTACTTGCTTTTTTTGTTTTTCCACAACTAAGTTATGCCAGGGATTCACTAGCATTGCTATAACAAAATAATAAAAAGGATAAGGAGACTTGGCAGAAGTAATGTCAAAATTTGTAACAACTTATAATTAAAGTGTTTGGGTATACAAGCGTTCTGCTTGTTGCAAATATAATTCATAAATATATATGCACTAAATGTTGTTCACTCTGCAGATATGAATGCATATGTGTTTAACTGCTGTAGACTACCATGAGGCTTATTTTTCTTTTACATAAGAACTCTAGCGCATTCAGGATAGTTTCTGGCAGGATTTTTCTTGATGATGGAAAATAAATCAATTGGCTCCTTTTTGTTGTTGTAAAGAACATGATTTTACACTTGCTTGCAGCTCTAAGTTTTATATAGTATAATAAATATCTACTGTGTCTGAACAGGTTACTGTCAAGCAAGTAGTATCTTACACTATGCTCATGGAGACAATCAGCAATCACACGTATTGCAAGCAGGTAATTTAAACAACAATGAAAAAAAAAAACCCCAAACACTTTTCTTGGATATATAAGGGTGCAATAGAGTCTTAATGTAAACACTGATTTTAAATTATCAGGAAGAACGGCCCTTGGTACTGGCATTAGTGCAGGGAAACGCCCAAATCCAGAAGAAGAAACTCAGAGCGTTGGACCAAAAGTCCAGCGACAGAGCACAAATTAAACTGGTAAGATCTGAGGCACCTTAAAGTTATCCAAGTTCTGTACAAATTTTGTGTCTGTGATAACATTCATGTCACTGCAGTGCAAAGGATCCTAAACTATTGCTGTAAATATCTATTTTCTGGGGACTCTGCAAACAGACAGTATGAAATCTTGGCTGTAAGAGGTTTTGTGAATTAGGAGATAGGAAGTAGTTGCAAAAATAGAGCCAGACTGAAGATTATCAGACACAGATCCAGGTATTAATGAAAGGAAGATGGATAAACTGTGGTTTTAATACATTAGCAGAGCTGCTTAAGTAGCTTCAGTTACTCTCTGCTCCTACATCTCACCTTAAGTTGTGCCAGTAGCATTGTTTGTTGTGAATGTGTGGTGACCTCAACCAGGAGACTATGTCAACTTAAAAGGAAGAGCTCAGGGCCTCGATTAGTTTAGGTACATAAGTGGACTAAGCAGAACATGTTTCAGAGCGGGACTTCCAGAAACCTGCAAAATGCTATGTGGTTCTTGAGTGTGAAGATGTAGGGACCAATAAGATTTGAAGACGTGAGCCTTTATTATTGGTCTGTAATTGAAGCAGGTTACTCAGACTCCCCAGGTTTGTCAAGCTGTGGTGAAAGACTTGAATTTGGAGAAGGCATTGTAGATGAATGCACACAAACAAGTGTGAAAATGTGGAGAGAGAAGCAGAAAACTGGAGAAGGAGTTTTGTATATGTAAAATCATCAACATAGAGAAGATAAGCCCATCGTAGTTTCTGGATAAAGTTAGGAATAAGACAGAGGAAAGAGAAGGCCAAAATTGCTATACCTCTTCCCCCAATAAGCTTGATTTGAGAGCAACAAAGAAGATGACCTGAAAAGAATTAAATGAAAAAGTAATTACTAAGGACGAAAGCCAAATAATGGAGGACTGAAACAAGAGGGGACAGGATTTCAAGACTGGGAGTGCGGCTGCAAAGGTTAAAGGTGATTGAGATATTTAAGAAAAACAAAGTGGAGCATTGGTCGTTACGAAATTTGAAGAATAAGTAAGAATAGCACAACAAGCGAGATAATAGCACATGGAGAGACATTGTTGGAACTGGAAAACAGGGATTCCATACAACAAGTGAAGATACATTCATCATCTCTAGAGATAAAAAGGGAAATTCAGTCTACTTCATTTGATTTTGACAGCAAGATCTAATTTTGCTTGTTATACAGTGGCGGCACTTTGTCAAAGTTACTGCAGTGCATTAGGAACAATTGTGTCATACTGATTTGATTCAGTGCAGAACCACAGCATTGTTTCCACAATGCTGTCAATTGAGGAAGTGAGCTGAGACCTTAGTGAGTGATCCATCTGCTATTTTCTCACATACTGGAAGCCCTGTGAACTGCTTCTGTGTTCTCAAACTGATTTCTGTTACTTGGATGGGCCTGAGTGGAACAATGCCAAGAGAGTCTGTGTTTCAGTAGCTGTCTAATCCTTAGTATGTGTAGATTCATTCTGCATCCATGTTTTGTATTGCAGAATTCCTTAGGTGCTCGTGTCTGTGTAGAAGAAGTACCTGCAGAGAGAACGTCTGGTTCCTGTTTAAGCTCTTTTTCAATTGAGAGACAGGTTGGAGGGGTTTTTAGTTTGGCAGAGAAGATGATTTTGTTAGGGGTGTTCAAAGCATGCTGCAAAAGCATTATAGTAAATACAAACATCAACTGAGATCATACTCAAAACCACTGCTGGCAAAAGGTTGTGCACTTCTGAATAGCACTCAAGTAGAGTACAGAGGCTTTTGTTGGGTTTTTCTTATTTTGTTTCCTTCTCCTTTTAGCCTCTAAGGTGAGAAATAAGAATTCTGAGTATTTGGGCCAATACAGATTGGGACAGGGCTTCCTGCGTTGAGAAGGGGGGAAACAATATTGGTCCCTTGAATTACTTCTGGCTTCAAAGACTCACATCAAACTGCTTAAGAATAAATTTTTTTTCTTTTTTTCTTGCAGCTTAATTGGAAGAGAAGTTTGTCACTCAAAGAACACATGGGACAAAATTCCTGCTACTGTGTATTGGAACTAAAGTGTTGTGAGAGTTCATGTTCTAAAATTACATACTTTTTCATAAATTATTTTCAATTGTTCTCAGTTGTTGTAAACAAGTCCAATTTTTGGAATGCATTATTTCTAACTGGCATTTCTATGGTTTTTAACTTTTTAATGACTCTTTCACAAAGGGCAAATTGAGTTTTGTATATAAAGTATTTGGTGAAGAATTTGCTAACTTATTGTAAATATAAATATTCATGATTAGTGATAGACCCATCAATATATTTTTGATAATCTTTCATGTATATGGTAGTAGGAAAAGCTATAGTGCTGTTCTGAAAAACAGATGAAAATAGAAAGTTTGGAAGCTTTAAAATTGTTATTATTTTTAGATTCCGTACCTGAGCTCTGTATGATCAACTTCATATTTTCATAATGTAAGTGCTTACGACTGTGTTTAATCAAATACAGTAGAGTTGTAACCATAATTAATCACATCTGTATATAAAACACATGCCAATCGTAGTCAAGTTGTAAAATTTTCATGTATATGTCCAGTCCTTGTATTTCTCAGTTGCCTTGTTCAGTAATGACATACCTTGTTAATAAAAGAAAATTGTATATATAGACAACTATGTTTGTCTTTTGTGTGCTCTGTTGCTCCTGCTTATATTTCCAAACAGAATTGTTTCAGGAAAGAAGAGACATACTCTTTTTAGACTTAATCTGGAAGTTGCAAACAATGAACTATATCACCTTTTACTTCCAAGTTTCATGATACTGAAGAAAAACAATATTCACATTGTCCAGGCCTTCTTCTTGAAACTGCATGTATATATTCTGACCATTAAGTGTTTTTTACCGATGTATTTTTTGTTTCTTCAGAATCTAGGTGTCTGGATTGTTTGGGTTTTTTTCCGTGCTATAATTACAATTTGCTTGATAGCTGCGAAGTCTTTCCTGCAATGCATTTAATTTGCTGCTTTTTGAGGACGTTGATTTCAGACTTGCTTGAATGCTCAGTCAATACTGTCTCAAATGTTTAGAGAAGTTGTATCTAAGTGTTTTCTCAGACCATTAAGATCTCTGAAGAAGCACTATGAATTTGCATATGACTAGGTAAGTCATATTACTTGAATGGGTGCCCAGATTAAAATCCTAGAATATCCTGAGTTGGAAGGGACCCAGAAGGATCACCGAATCCAGCTTCTGGCCCTGCACAGGATGATTCCCAACAATCTCATGCATCATATACCTGAGAATGTTGTCCAAATGCTTCTTGAACTCTGTCAGGCTTGTGCTGTGACCACTGCCCTGAGGAGCCTGTTCCAGTGTCCAGCCATCCTCTGGTGAAGAACCTTTTCCTGATATCCAAGCCAAATCTTTCCTGGTACAGCTTCCATCCATTCCTTGGATTCTGTCACTGGTCACCACAGAGAAGAGATCAGTGTTTCCCCCCGCTCTTCCCCTCATGAGGATATTGCAGACTGCAGTGAGGTCTCTTCCAGGCTGAACAGACCAAGTGCCCTCAGCTGCTCCTCATACAGCTTCTGCTCCCGATCCTTCATCATTCTTGCCGTCCTCCCTTGGGCTCCCTGAGACCTTTAGATATTTCTTGTATTGGCACCTATACCTGCCCCAGAGCAGAGCAGGACAATCCCCTCCCTTGCCTGGCTCTGATGCTGTGCCTGATGCCCCCAGGACACGGGTGGCTCTCCTTGCTGCCAGAGCACTGCTGACTCATGTTCAACTTGCCTTGACCAGGACCCTCAGCTCCACTGTTTTCCAGCATCATTATTTCCCAGTCTGTTCATACATTCAGGGTTGCCCCATCCCAGGTGCAGAATCCAGCACTTGTCTTTGTTAAACTTCATGTGCCTGGTATTAATTATTAACTAATTCTCAAGTGAGAGAAGTTAATTATCTTGCTCTTAGTATCACATTGGTGACTTCTAGACAGGGGGCACTTCTGTGTGGTTTAAAATTCAGATTAGATTTTTGCAATGACATAATGCAGCAGGGATCTTGTGGCAGAATAAATTACCATAGTACTAGATTTTAGATTATAGTTGTTAATGTAAATATCTCTACATACTGATTTGTATACAATGGCAAAATCAAAAGCACTACTAAGAAAATAGAGGCATGTCTACTGTCTTGAGGCAGAGAATGTGTGAAATTGATGAAAAAACTCAGTGGTGAGAATAGAGAAGCAGATGCTAAGTATTTTCCACAGATCAGTCTAAATAAAATGGAGGGGTTCCCTAGAGACATACATAATAAGGAGAATTAACAGTTCTTTTTTTGTCTAAGTAGTCTGAAAATAGAAAAAAGAAATAGGCTTAGTCTGCCTTCAGACATGTTTTACTCTGTCAAGATAACGCTGAATTTTTTTGCTAACCTTATATTAAAAGAAACATACCATCTAAATTAAGTATTCCACCTAGATTTTCTGAATCATTAGGCTATGAAACTCCCACAGAGAAACTTCATCAAGGTAAGAACATCTGCTTAAATATTACCTTCCCCCAACCAGTCTGGAAATTCAATAGGTGAAAGAAGAAATTTCCCAAGGAGTTTATTTTTATGGTAAGTTAATTCCCCCCTTCTTAAGTGCTGAAAGGAGTATTCTTCTTCTTGATGTAGGCAAATCCTTGGATTTGCAAAGGAAAATCTATGGATATGCTGTTTCACTTGTATGCTGGCTTGAAGTTGTTCTGGACTGTGGTGGAAGAAATAGTCTGTGATCAGTTTAGTGTGAGAGAGAGGAAAAGTTGCCTTCAGAGTAGCAATAGCCTCATAAAAGCCCTTTGCCTCATATTCTTCCCCTCCAACCTACTAAGTGCTGTGACCATGAAAATAAAATAAAGGGAAGGTTTTGCACATTAAAAAATTACTAAAGCCATTGTAACCTGGACTTTTTCTCCCCACACACCCCTTTGTGATTTTACAAGGAATTGGACATGTGCTATAAATCCAGTATGGAATAAGGGGTGGGTGGGGTATTGTTGCTTATTAGATCTCTCCTCCAGAAATGGAGCTTAAACTATTCCTCAAAAACGTTCTGTTCGCAAGGGATTTAGCTGGCCCTTCTCTGGGCTGGTAGGTGATGGGGAGAGGAGAGTTTGCAGACTTGTCGTTTGTGGAAACCAAAAAACATATTCTAAAAGCATGCGGGAACAAATTTAGGGGATATGAAAAGAAAATAGTTCTTAATTGTCTTCAAGCATTCGGAACCTGAGCGTTTGCAAAGGAACTTTGTGTGACACGTACTGTATTGTTTTGTGTACGCGTACTATACTGGTGCTACCTGCTTACAGAGGTTTTTGAAAGGAGTTAAAACGCAAAACGCGTGAGGTTTGTGCCGGTGCTGGCTGGGGCAGAGTTAATTTCTCTTTTTTGGGGGCAGCTGGCCCGGAGCGGTGCCGGGAGCGCGGCTCTGTTGTGGCTGAGGGCGCTGGGCCGGCAGGGGGCGCTGTGGGCGCGGCCCTGAGGGAGAGCCCGGCGCTCGGCCGGGAGCGAACCCGGCTCCTCGGCATCGCAAGGACTGCGGTGACAAAGTACTCCGGAGAAGGGAAAGTACGGGGAATTATAGCACGGCTGCACAATAGCTACCCTGTGCTTCCCGGTCAGAAACCAAACCTCTCCTGTTACTCTGGAAGTTGCTTTCCAGGAACGCTGCCGTGTGTGCTTGCCTGCACAGACATACATTCTCTTTTTCAAATGCGCTTTGCCTACGATCGTTTCTAAGAGCCAGTTTTTAAGTATTGTCAAGATTTTACCTGTTTGAAATGTTTGGTGGCCCCGGGGAGCCTTTTGGGACCAGGGCATGGAGCCAGGACAGCTGAGATGCAGGTTCTCGTCTCTGCTCCATCCCAGAGCCTGAAGAGACTCAGGTAAAGCTCTCCCGATTCCCAAAGCCTTCGTGCACAGGCTCCTGCTGGCAGCCGTGTTGTTCTGCATTAGATCAGATCAGATTAAGCAGGCTACGAAGAGAGCCTCCTTTCTCTTCTTCGTGCTCCTTATTTCCAATAGAAAAGTGTTCTTTGGGCAAGAATTCCCACTCTTAGAGGGCTAAGCGAATGAAATCCTTGCTCTTCACTCTCTACCTCAGCTTTCAACCCTAATGCTTATTGCAATATTTTCCCCCAGAAATTTAGAAGTGATGAAAATTTCTGGCTAGAGGGGAAATTTGCATTGATCCAAAAAGCACAGGGAAATTTAAAGCAGACACAGAGAAATAATTTAAATGTTGATTTCAAGAGATCTAAGCTCCTGCTTTCGAATAGTGTGCACTGCAAATGCAAAATTAATTCAATATTAAACTAAAGAATGCAAATAGAGTCGATTTCAATATTTTTTTTACAAAATTACTCACAAAACAGAAAGACAGAAGAAGCATAAAAGAAATGGAAAAGAGATACAAAAGGAGATTCTTTCTTTGGGATGCTGTTGTTTGCTTGCTTGCAAGAGGTCTTAGTGTAAATTTCAAAATCCAGAACTCTTAAGTGCAAAAATCTCTTGTGCAAAACGCCAAAGTGCAGCCAATGTGCAGGATCACATCCAAGAATTTGTGGTTAGTGGAAGCTTGCACTTAATGCAAGCTAAAATTATGCTTTTCTCTGCTTTTCTTAACCTTACTAATTACACAAAACACAAGAAGATAATCTTATGAACTATGATTATTCTGACTGGGAGTAACCAATAATAGTTAATAATAAGAACAATTTATAAGCAGCATTTGCAGAGAGGGAGAATTTTCTTCAGGTCTGTTTGGCTTTCTAGAGCTTCAGACCGTGTGGTCATCACACATTAATTATCTGGACCATACTTTTTTTCTCAAGTGCCTTTTACCCTGACCAAGCGAGGAATATTTTTAAGCAAAGTCACCTTTACCTGATAGTGGTGGAAACACATCCCTGCTCTGAGGAATGGCTTGCACCAGCAAACGTCAATGATACAATGCATTCAGACTTCAGAGTGGCTGCTACACACCCAAGAACAGGGGATTTCAAGAAAGCTTGGCAAATGGATGGAAGGAAGCTGATGGAAGTAGGGAAGGATTTTTGCAGAAATCTAAGGGAGGGAAGAAGGAAAAATAAAAGGATGGTGCAAGGAAAGTTGCCAGCTGAAAGAAAGAAGGAAAAAACAGGTAAGAAATAGAAGTCCCTTGATAGATGAAGGTTTATGGATACATTTATGGATACATGTCTTGCCTAGCTGGATAATTGTTCTGTTGCAGCATAAGCCTTTCTTTAAGAGGGTAAAGAAGGGGCAGAAATAATCCTTGCAGATATTTTAGGTGCTACACAATGTTACAATTTTCTGAAATACTTGCAGTGCGCAGGGTTTGGTTTCCAAGTGCTTGTGAATTTTGATGGATTTGGTCCCAGTTCTACTACCAGCCCTTCCAGGAGAGAATAGTTCTGGGGTAGCACTGGGCTTTTCTCCCTCCTGCAGGGCAGCTGCCCCAGGTGCTTCAGCATTGCTTTTGTGCATTCAGTAGAGCATGCCTGGGACTTAAGGGACTGTCTCGCCTCATGCAAAATGTTTGCATATGTGTATTTTTTTGTAATTAGCACAGTCAGGCTTTGATTTTGTGACCTCAGATGCTACTAATTACGGCATTTACTGA